GCTCTACGTCGGTCGGGACGCTTCCCTCTCGCCTTCATCAAAATCTATACTCACCACACAGGGTGTACACGATAACAAGAAGTAACTGAAAAGATTTTTGGAAACATCAAAACAATTGACTTGGAAACAGCAATTTATATAACGTGGACAAGTGGACAAGAAAATTAACTTTTCGAAAAATATTGAAAAATCTTCAATTCAAAATTCAGCTAAATGATAAGATCAATGTAGAATTGTAATTACTAAGCGATTACAGTACAAAAATCCAAACTTAAAAGAAGTACAACTTTCTAAAACTTCTCCAAAAAGTTGAGAGCAATATCTTTAAACTAAGTTTTCACCAAAGCTGTTGTGAATTACTAATTTTGTCATTTTCTTTTATTGTTTTGAGTGTAATTCGTTTTCGATTTGTGGCTATTCTCTTCAATGTTACTGTTTTTAAGTTGAAAGCCTAAAACTACCAAGATGTCTGTTATCTACATCCAGGAAGAATATAATTGTATAATTGGTTAAGTAATCAGAAAGTCAGTAAAAGTAGAAGAAATTGAAGTATGGAAGTAGCCCGATGACCCCTTAACGATCTTAAAAACTCAGATATAATCCAAAACTATTACTATTTTTCCCACACAAAACATCCCTCCACATCATTCGCATATGAATCGTGTCATCACAATGAACTTTTTTGATTTTTTTGAATTCTCTGAAGGTTAAGAGGCACGTATACGCTAGTCACGAAAAGCTTCTCTGCAAAATCTCAACTATTTCGCCCTCCGCGTGGGCCGTGCGACCAGTTGTTCCGCACTCTTCCATAGTGAACGTAAAATCCGAAGAACTTCAGTTTATATACATAGATAACACGTATATGGGTAGTAAGATATTTAGTAATAGGTAAATGGTTAGATTGGAGGTGGATTGGCGTAATTATCTAAGGATGGAAAGCTGCGGGACCACCAGATCCGACCGAGGCCAGACGGAGCACCAGTCCGCCTCCCCGCCCGCCCCCATCACCCCATTGCCACCATCACCTGTAATGAATCGGTCTAATTAGAGAGAGAGTTTCGTGCCGGCTTAATTCCGTAATAAGCAAATACTAAATTGCTGTACGTTTATGTGCACATTGTGTTCATGCTAATTATCCGCATACGGCATAATTGCTAGCCGACGTCGCCGTGGTGCTGTTGTGCATGCCATCTTGTTGCCTCGCTTTTCTTTCATCTTTCACCCCGCCGCCCTCATCTTCCGTTACTCCTCCTTAGTTCCTATTTTACATTCGAAGATACGTACACACGCGAGAAATTGAAGCTTTTATAAGGGCCTAATTAGTCCTTACGGCTAAAACAATACATATTGGACAAACAGGCAGGAAAATAAAACACCGATTTACGGAGCATAAAAAATTGTAATTATACTATCGAAAACTACCACAATCGATATCAGTTAGAGACTTATTGACTTTAAACAAAAGACTGTTTAGACTTTCCAATTTATAGTTGATTTCGGATCCTTAAACTTAAAATCCTTCAAGGTTCTTGATGGATATCCTAATTTTTTTTTCAGGTTACGTATTTTAATGATAGGTATGTAGGATGTGGCCGCATATTAAATTATAATTACGGGTTCGGCTTCAGCATTTAATGTCTCCTAAAATGGGGCGTGTAATAAGCGCGAGCGAATTAATTATTAACATTAAAATTGGGTGCCTCGCAGGCCGGTCACGTATTCCAATAACGGCAGCTAGTTATTGAAGAAGCGATATAATTTTCAACGGTTGCTAGCTACCGTATTCGAACCCGAACGTTTCGACTACGTACGCGAGAGTTCGTCGCCGATATGCGAACGACGCGCCGCGCCACCGAGGTCTATCCTCCTAATAACAAGTGTCGAAATTCGAAGCTTTCCATGCACGCGCACGCACAAAGCTCGGTAATAAGAGCCGCCGGGAGCGGATTGAAAAGCTTCGTTATCGGCTGAATGACATTTTTAGTAGCGTACTAGTGACAATGGCGGGTTCGTTAATGTTAACAAGCAACTGATTAACTCCTGGTTCTTGTGCACGGGACAGAAACGGCGACGGCATCAGCAGCAACGGCAGCAGAGTTGAACCGGGACGTTCGTTCGTAATGGAAAAAGAGACGGAGACGGAGAGTAAGGGTGAGAGTGAGATGACAGAATGCCGACCGTCGCTATCAACCCCGATCTCGTCGTTAATTAATACCATCGTACACGTTAACAATTACGCAAAAACAATCCACGCTTCTGCAAAAAAAACGATGCTTTCTATTCGTTCATTCGGCTGTTCGAGTCTAATCGACGGTCGATCATTAGGTTCGATCATTCGTTAACCAGACACATAAAAAATATCGATATTCGGAGATAACCGATGCTGAATGTTGTATTAACTTCGAAATGCTGCTAACTTAAATTCAACGCTTCTCTTATAAAACATTTCGTACATTTTCTTCCAGTAAATATAATACCATAAGACTATACCATCCGGAACAACATTTTTTAACACTCTAAAGGATAAAAACAAGAAATTAAGAGTTACATTAACGAAATAAGGCGGCAGTGATAGAACAAGAATGGTCCCCTTAAAAAAAAGAAACATAATCGGTAAAAACGGGATAACTTATAATATAACATTCCGGAACTAGCTGTCGATCAAAATGTTTAACTGAAACACAAGAGGGTTGCTTAGGGCTACTTTAGATATCCAAGAACCAAGACACACACTCATTAATTAAAAATCGTCACTTTTAACGTATTCAAGTTGGATTTAAGGAATTACAAAGACCTGGACGGGTTTAATGTTCTATATTCGGGTGTATAATTAGTTGCATAATACATTGTAATGACATATTATAACCATTAAGGATCAGATATAAAGTATAGACCAGGGAGGACATGGAAACATGCGGCATCCTAGAAGTCCTTATGTAGCCTTAATTAAACCTAGCCCTAAATATTTAATAATAAAACCATTTCAATTTGAAAATTAATACTATATTGGATGCTGCCACCGATTGTTACATCATGAATTACTCCAGATCTGCCTGTCTTTCATGACCTGAAGTTTAAATGTTGTCTCTAATGGTAAAAAATTCCCATTTCTGGTATAGATTATGTAAGTTTGGACAGGCTTCGCTAGTTATACAGATAAAAAATTACACGAATCGGATTTCCCGCTAGAGTTAACCATTAGACGTAACGAGAGTGGTGTGAATGTAGTTGTTATCAGTATTGTTTGTTGCAAATGAAGATAAACTTGATGATGGTTGTACCCCTCGTGTCGCCGTTGCCATACGGTTCATTCTGCCGGTCCGTCCGTCCGTCCGTCTGTCTGTCTGTCTGTCCGTTCGGGTCTCCTTGTTAGCACTAATGAAATGGCATGCGGCTCCTCTGACTGTTCGCTAACGAGCGAATGGCCCTGTTACACTAATGAGAAAAGCTCGGACGCTAAAGCTCATTACGGGAAGTGTCGCCGCGGACATTCACGGGGAAAGCGGTCTTTCTATCTCACTCTCTGTGTGTGTGTCTCTCTCTCTCCCTCGCTCTCTTTAAACAGTACAGTGGAAATGCCATGTCAGAATCAGTGGTGGTACGATAATGGTGACGAGCTCTATTGTTTTTTGCGTGCGGAACTGCTAACGTCAACCTATATTGACGAAGGACGATTGTCAGGAAGAGAAAAGATGACAATTGTTATTATTTCGCCAAATAGAATTTGATTCGTCACGAATGGATCTGTAGAAAAATGTTTCCACTATCTTCTTTTGAAATATAATAGAATTCGGGTATAACAGCATCGGTTATAACGACAACTCTGATGTAACGTCGGTTTTTAATAGTAGTCCAGGTTTACCATTCAAACCGACGCTAAACGTTAACAAACTAGTAAATAATGCCATAGTTTTTTACTATAAATCCTTTTCATCGTTTGTCTATATATTGATATTGGTTAACAACGAGTTCGGTAGATAAATAATAAAAAAACTAGCAGACGTTATCTGTGAAGATTTTCAACATGACTCAGTGTAGGAATCCTGCTGAGAGAATGTACCGTTTTCGCGAGATGCCATGACAATATTCACTTCCATGTTTTGAGCAATTAGATGTTACTCGAGAGACTGGTGGATTTCCCCCCCCCCCCCGTAATTGTGACGTACCCGGGAGCATTTATCATCTAAACATAATCAAATCCGTAATTAGAGACTGCCACGTACTTGTTCGGATGCAGACGGAAATTCCTTTGTTAGCGAACAGAATTGTCCTTTTATAATTACACTGCCTTCAGAACAAAACACCACTCAAGGGTACCTCCGCATTGTCCGCCACAGGACGAGCGGTATTCTTATGTACAATACAATTATGCAAGGACATGTCGCTGTATTTTTCTACACGAAGGTATACATATAACACACAAAAAAAAATAATAAGAAGGAGAGGAACTATTAAGGAACCTTTGTCCTGGGATCCTGAGCTAATTATATTATAAGGTACCAACCACGAGTACCTTCTTCAAATTTCAACGTTCATAAGGAGAAAAAGGAGCTCAACCAATATGTGCTTCTACATAATTAAAAATATACAGAGCGTCCTGCTTTTTAAACTGTTAAGAATAATATTTAATTAAGAAATTTAAATGTGCAAGTAAGTACAAAAAAAACGTTTTGGTAAATGCTTTTCTTGTTAAGAAGATTGAAGTCAGAATTCCGGTATGGTGATTATCCTTTCTGTTAGCACGTGTTTGTCCGCGACAATCTACAGTTATTGTCCTGCGTGTAAATAAAACTCTAGCATTAAACATATACCTGCTATTAAGGTGGCTTGTCTAATTTTGTTGTTGTTATTACTTTCGAATTGGAGTCCTTATAAAACCGCAAGGATAATCCTGACTGTCTTATGATCGGAGTTATACATTCGAAATATTTTCAGTTAGATACATAAATGTAAATGTAAAAAATGATAAACAGAATTGAGTGTCCTTGTCTGTTACTTACAATTGCTTTCGTCGAAATGTCCTTTTACCCTTCTGCACTAATTCTCCGACAACAAAATCACAATGTCCTCGTCGACCTCGTCGTTTATTGTTGCTCTTCTCAGAACGTAAGATGGTATTTTTATGGCGTTCCTTTTAATTAATTGAAAATGAAAAATGAGATTGTTTTTCTGTGTTACAAACTCGCGCAAATGGAACAGGACGATAGCCTCCGCGGTCTCTAGGAGCACCCACCGTTCGCTGCGAAAACTCTCACCAAACTGACGCCAAGTTTGAATGAGAGGACAGACAAGCAACCGAATACTACTACAACGAACACTAACGTGCATGTACACGACAATACACTCACAAATACACACACACACACAGACATGGAGCAGGATAGGGACGAAGAAGTGGAGCTTTGAGGCGGCGCGCGCCCCTTTGCCGATCGCGTCCTTCGCTTTAGAAGCTTTTCAAAACGATACAAGTGGATGATAATTTAATTAACAAGCTTCCCTCTAATGCGGCATTTCAAAGGCGACTCGTTAACTTATACACGTCGATTTTGGTCCTTAAGAGCCGTACGTAACTCCTGCTTTGTTTCACATCCTTGGACTTATTTACTATATCGGAATATCCTTATTACGATTAGACGTTTTAACTGCAGTACATCAACCCATCCAAGTTTTTAGACGGATGGACACTGTTGTCGATGGGACATTGCATTTTACATTTACCAATCTTCCCACCACAGCCCTTAACAACTTTAATCAACATGTAAATCAGTTTAATTGCTTTTTGCTACAATGAAAATATCGGCAGACACTGAACGCAATTGCAATACAACAGATGATTGCCGCAGCCTATCTATGATAGAAAATTGACATTCAAACATGTCCAACACGTTAATTAATTAAATATGCCCATTAAAGACAGTATCCTGGATATCAAAAGTAAGCGCAGTCGTCCTTATTGTTAGTTTCATCCTTTAACTGGACTTTTTGATATATTCTAATAATTCCAGAAAGTATTGTAGTATCAAATGAAGAGACAGACACACAAATTTTCATTACAAAGCTATACCTACCCTAGAACAGTAGATATTACCAAATTATTACTTATGTAAGTAATTTTTTTCATTACACTAGACACCAGCTAGTGTCAAGGGTTTCAAATTTACTTTTATGTAGTTTTATGTTCTTCAACTTCCGTATAGTTTACCATTAGTGTTGAATTGAAGGACTGTGTCCTCTTGGAATCGTCTTCAGCCTGATGATGGATCCAAAGATCACAGATCACTGACCAAGAACTTTTGCTTTGTTTTGACCCGTATAACGTTACAACATTAATTAGCTAGTGTTTTATTTTTAATAGGTGTGATAAACATCCGTAATAATTAGCAGTTCGCTGATGAAATAGCTTTATTTTCCTTATTTCGAGTTAATTAAGAAAGTGTAGTATCAGCTTTCAGTTAGATACGTAACTCGATCAAATTAACTATGGACTTAGGTCGATGGTATTTCAAATTAGAAAGACAAGAAGAAAATTGTACCCATGATAGGCACGTTAAATAAAGAACATCGTCATGCAACACCTAAACGGTAAAGAAAAATAAGAAAATAAGTTAAAGTGAGAGAGAGACAACGAGATATACATAGACAGGTATATATTCCGTGTTCATGCAATAATCTTAAAGAGCAGTACGTATTAGATGTTGCCTTTAATTAGAGCCTTAACTCTGGGAACTCTTTATTGTTTTTCGCTAATTAAAATCTATATGTATGTATATGCGCCGAGGTACTGTAGGCAGGTACCCCCTTTTGCTGAAAGATTGTTCCTGTATAGAACGAGAACCAGTTTAACATCGTAGCCGCCATTGACGGCTTTCAGTTGTTTTTGTTTCTTTTTTTTTTTCTGTTGATTGTTGTAAGGTGTTCATTACTTATAACGCGAATTATGTTTGCATCGGCAACGAAACTAATCCAATTAGGTCATATGCATATGGTTTCGAAAGCCTGGCATTTTCCGCTCGGCTTAGCCTTAAAAAGAAACCTTACCCCTCGGTAGGTAAATTTATATTTCCTTTCTGTCCATATCATCACTCACTCACTCACATTCGGTCGGAAATTTTTCCTTTTTGCGCGTAGCTGTCGTGGTACACCTTATCTAATTACGAGATTGTAACATGTCAGGGGGTATTGTTAACGGTGAACGCTGCGGAGCACTATAAGTTAGCTCAAATTATTGAGGAAAAATTGTATTGTTGTTGTTATATTTTCTCCTGGAATCGAACCCCAAACCTTTGGCTTTACGCACCAATGCTCTGAGCACTAAAATTGAGAAAACAAAATGTCATTTTGTTCATGTTGTAAGTAGTGGTTTTTAAAATGACTTATTCAACTCTGATGTAGAATCCATTAGCTATTAACGCAAGATGTAGCCGCTAATTTTCTGTTCCGCTCTGCGTGAAGAGCTATTAAACGAAGTCTGTCGCATGTTTGCAATTTAATTCGCATTATGAAATTCGAATTAAAGACGCATTTTACGACTCTTGAATCATTTTGTAAACTTTGTACCTACGATGTAGGTTTACGTATGTATGAAAGATGAGATAAAGTAGATGCAATTGTTGTTGTACCAGTAATGGGGTTTTAATAGGCCGATGAGAATTTTTTAAGAATCCTGAACCATCATTATTAATATGTACGTAAAACATGTCAAGTAGAAAGTTATTTCAGATCTTTTACCCTTTCAATGTATTATACTGACATATTGTCTTATCTTCTCAGTTGTTATTCACAATAAATTAGTGATGTTTAAGCAGTAATCACTGTGAAACCAGCATCCTGCAACTTATTACTTCAAACTTCTTTGATAAAGTCAAACATCATTACGCATATTTGAAAACAACATATTAGCAACATTTTCTGGAATATATTGGATACCTAATTGCAATATAAAACATTATCAGATTATTTTGTCAAACATTGGTTTTATTGAAATAATTCGAAGTGGTCTGTATTCTGTCGAAACTTAATCCTAAAATGTAGCATCGTGCTACAGATGGCGTTTACTGCGCCATTTGTAGTATTTTCTAAAACGCATTGGTTTTATTATTCGGTAATTTGTGTTGCTAATACTACGGGTATAACTGTAAAGATTAGTGAATATTCACTGAAAATTAGTAAAAATCCACCGATCCCTGTTTTAGCCCAGCAATAAATGAGTAAACTATTTAAGTTAAGAAAAACTAGAAGAAGGGTAGGTAGTTGTTGTTTAATTTTGTTTTCGTGTTATATAAAATTTCAGTAATAAAAGAGTGTAGATAAAGAAATCCTTTATATAATCCAGAACTCGTCTAGATCGCACTAATCCGTACATACAGTAATAAAATTGGATTGACTAGCGTCTAGCTTTGAATGTTAGCTTAGGCTAAATAAGTAACACTATTTAATAGGGAAGAAAAAAACAATTAAAAATTAAAATTTCGCTTTAACTTTGTTTGCATAGCGCGAAAATCGTCTTGTGTTTTTGGTAGTCGTTGAAATTTCGCATTGCGTAACTTTGCCCACAATTCGTTCTGGACATATAAAATGTACGCAAAACGCGGTATGAGAGAATAGCTAAAGGTCACGACGTATTAAATTTTCAGTCAGTGGTCAATTTAGGCATTTGAACACAATAAATTACAAAGATCCCCAAATTATTGCTTTAATAAATGTACGTAGATATTCGCTTTATCCTGTAATTTCTGACATTGCATATAACTCAAATTATTATTGACGAGCCGCCCCTGTTACAAACAAGAGCATGTTTTTATGAAAGTAAATTGAAAGAAATATTGTCATTAGATATCCTGCGTATTAGATTCGAAGGAGAACGAAAATAATGATGCTGGAGCGCGCCCCTATTTGAGTTACAACCCAGTTTTAAGGGTTCTTCAGTCCTTAAAAGGCAATACAAGTATATGATACAATAATTAGATCTTAACTCCTGTGTCTACCTCTAATAGGTCCTACCAATCTCGCCTATTATTTATTGATTTCCAAACAAAACTATTTTTAAAGGGATTATTCATTTTTGAACTGTGCGTGATAACCGGATAACCATTAAATTCCACCCTGTATTATTAAATCCGCATTATTGCGTTTTATGAATATGTATAGGCGAGTAATATAAAAATTAAATGAAATGCGTTCAAGGGGTGAGAAACAAGACGGAAAGTTGTAGCGTTTTAATAACTGAAGCGCTGTCGGATTCGTTATTTTAATTTTTTAATTATAAAAGTTTCGAACGTGCAGTTGATATGAAAGCTTCGAGAAAGTTTTTTCGTTTACTAATCGCGCAGTTACCTCGGCTAATAAAATTTAAATTATGCTCCATTAATCAAGTAGGCGGGAAATTGAGTTGCAGAGCATATGACGACGGGTTTTAAGTAGTCGCGCGTAGAGCATCCAGAATTAATTAAAAGTGAAAAACTGTGTTTTATTATTCAACTTTAACCAAGGTATTTAGACGTATACGTAAGTACATACACATCTCTCTCGTTGGTAAAATTTTAAGGAGAGAAAAGAAGGCTGCGTCGTCTCTTCTTGACTAAAGAACTCACTCGTCTTCTGCCCATTACTTCATATTAATCTAAAAAGCCTTTTTGTTTTACTTTATAATGCGCATTTAATGTTGCCGCTAGTTAAGATTGAGTATTATAAAATACCGCGGAATTAAGAATGACACCTCGCTTTTATTTTGTTTAAGTGCCACTTGGAACTTTTCTTTTCAGTTATTTCAGTTTCGGGACGGTATTTTTAACTTTGCTTTGATCGATCGAACGAAAGGATTCACACTTCCAATCTTCTCTAAAAAATAACTGCTGCATCACTATTAACATTTTAAAAACAAAAATGTTTGAAATTGGCTACAGTAAAGCTTGTTTATAATGACATCAAAGGGAATAAGACAAACAAGGACTTTATACCATTGGAACACCTTGGTTGCATGATTTTCAACCAACTTAAAAAAAAGGATGTTCTCAATTCGACTGTATGTTTTTTTGCTGATTCTGAACCGATTATAATTACTCTTTTTTCATTGAATGGCCTATATTTTAAGGGTCGTTTCTTTTCAATTTGAAGAAAATATTCTCTTGCTAGGAATGGAAAATTCTAACTAACTTTTTGTTAGTTTAAATTGTTACATACTGAAGTCGCCTATAAGGAACAATAGATTTAACAAAAAAAAAATTATTTAGAAAACTTATTAAAT